CTTACCTATTACTGCCGCCAAGCAGTAATGTCAGCATTACCCTATTCCGGTTTTTAAGGGTAAGAGTGCTGGTGAAATTACAGGCACATGGGACTTGTCAACTTGTGTCTCAGGATGACTGACGCAGTGGTAATGCCCCTCAGATCTTTGCAATTTAAAGCTTTTAGTGGCATTGTAAATGTTGTAGACAGGCGTGTAGCTTACCATCAGGCGCACGACTTATTTGTCCCATCACTTGATGTTATATAAAAAAAAACTAAAATGCTGTTAAAGATAATTTTCATAAAATTTCTTAACCTCACTTTGTTATCCTAGTTTTAACTACATTTATTACAGCTTCAATGAAGACAACCCAAAAGAAAAGTATTTTTTTATTTATGAAGATTTACATAAGCTAGTATGTTGGAAGAATTTGTGAGCCAAAACTACTTTCTATTCACATTGTGGAGCTATATGGGTCGAAGCTACAGTTAAGATTAGATTACGGGAAGCAACTGAATGAGATTGGCACAAGACAGGAAAGAATGGTACAACGAGAGGATACTTGTGTTTTGCATTGGGCGGATACGAGTTGATCGGCAGTTAGCTTTCCCTTCACATGTTCCACATACCAATTCGGGATAAAATACAAAAGTCAACAAAAGTTCGACACGTCTGCGATTTGAGGCAGCCGAGAAAGTTTAGCGCAGTTATTTAAAAGTATTCTTGAATATGAAGTTCTTGTTGTGTGCACACTAGCCATATACCAAGCTATGGAAACTGTCAGTTTAATATTTGCAATTTTGTACACATGTTTTTTTATAGGTTTTCTGTTAAGCGCAGTTTATCTTCAGGTTTTCTATACTGCCGTGCTTACAATATTACCAGTAACTAATTATGTTTGAAATACTTATAAACATACTGTTCTTATCGTAAGCATGGTAGTATATATTTCTAGCAGTTGATCAGTGCGGCTAAGGCGTAGTAAGTTTAACGATGTACAGTGAAAGGATGGTCCAGAGTTTGATTGACATTATTGCAATAGGTACTTGCTGGAGAGTCTGGTATGCATGCGATGGAGATGAGCATTGAATCGAGCTTGCCCCTTTCGCAGTCTTGACAGTTTTGTAAAACATTTTTTTCTGTAATAAGCGTTTGTTGTTGTTTCCATCAAAATAAGGAAAAGATACTAATATGTATTATGAAAGGGTTGTACGATAGAACCTTTGCCTGCCCAAACAAATAGGTGCAAACTTTGATTTAAACTTTCACGATTTTCACACATTATTTGATTTTTAATTCGAGGCTTTGTCCCTTCGAGACCATGGACGTTGCAATACGTCCGAAACGTCGAGGTAATTGAAATATGTTTTATACGTCATTAAGTCCCGAATTTAAAAAATATAAGGTACGTTACAAGACTTGCTAATTGGACCCGTCGCTCAGTTGGTAAGAGCAATGCTACGGTGCAGCTTGGACGTGGGTTCAAGTTCCACCAGTCGACGAATATTTTTCTGTGTGTTTGATCTTTGTATCCATAATCATAACAAAACTAATGGAGTTATTTCATAAAAAATCTCAATAAATATATAAGGTACGTTTTCTAGAAAAGGTTTTGTATTTTCGAGTAACTGTTTTACGTTGTCAAATTCAATAAAGAATTAAAATATAATGTACTACTCTAATTATTAACGTCATAAAATTGATTTAAGTTGGGCATACTACGCAAATAAGTGACACAGTTTGACGTCGCATACCCAAACTTTGATTACTAACTAGGCAAAATTTGCTAATAATAATTCATCAACTTTGTATAAAGGCTTTGGGCGAAGTTAACACTTGCTTGCATACTCTCTGCAGTTTACCGGCAATAATAACGTGGACATGTAAGAACTCAGAAAGGAAGAATTTCAAAATGGTCACCGAAAAAATATAACGATTTCTCGCTAACAATGTCAAAAATTAAACTATTGAACAAAAATACAATCCAAAATCTGGCAATATGACCAATTAGACGCTTTAGCTTCCGGAAAGACGAAACATTTTACTACAACCACTAAAACTATAAACATTTTGAATAAAAATTTGATAGTCAGAATGTCGTATATTCTCTTTAGTCACAAATTGTGCTATCAACTACGTTTGAGTGACTTTAGACAATTTTATTCGAAGTGTATTCCCGTGTACGATCCATTATCCTCACCAAAAGTAGATCTACGACAGCGGACATAGTCAATACATTCACAGGACAAAGCGTAAGTTTCGCTAGATAATTGAACTATGCGGGTAGACTGTAGGTACATAAATTTAGTTGCATAAAAGGGGTGTACGCTAAGACAAGTGTTACAGTGGAGTAGCTTAAAGATACTTAATTAGATCTTTGATTAGTTCCACGCTCGCTACTATTTATTATTCTTACGAGGTCATCTATAAATTACGTCGCAGAAACTTCTAGTATTTTTTCCATAATCTTTGCACTACGTACGTCGTTGAAAGCAGGGTTGTTGCGAATATCCGCATCCGCATCAGCATCCGCAATCAACGATAGCCATTGCGGATGTTCGAGTCGTGACATGAACTAAAAGACACGCTGGAATAACTTACTACTTTTTAGTAGTAGTAGATCTCCTTGTGAAAGAGTTCGTCCAGAGAAGTACTGCCACCTTACCTATTTTTGCCGCCAAGCAGTAGTGTCAGCATTACTGTGTTCCGGTTTTGAAGGGTGAGGGTGCTGGTGAAATTACAGGCACTCTATTTCTTCTCTACCTAAACAATCTCTCTCTACTAGTTTTAGAAAATGTAGATATCGTTTGCTATACTAACGACACCTGGATTTATAGTTACGATCCCAAAACAAAGCAGCATTTTTATGTTTCTTATTACTATTATTTAAATTTATCATATTTCTTTTGTTATTAATTTAATAATATACTAAAATAAGTTCTTATGTAAAACCTCTTTACTGATAACCACGACACAGGCCTAGTCTAGTGTGGTTATCTATGTATCACAATATTATGTTTTGGACAGTTAAATAATTGTTTTTTTTTTTTTTCATGTAAATAGATTCAGTAAGCATGTACATTATTTTTAAATACATAAAATCAGCATCCGCTGATGTGTTTAAAAACCTGCATCAGCAACAACCCTGGTTGAAAGACACGAGTTAATAATAATAAATAATAATGTGCCACATACCAGACAGAGAAACAGACAAATGGAATTCACTCCGGTGCACAACTTAGAACACGAAGTTCAGAACCAATTTAGAAAAGTTCATTTTACAAATTGGTTCTACCGGGAATCGTACCCGGGACTTTCTCATCAACAGTGCAGACCGTTGCACTACATAGATCATCTATTCAATAGATGCTGATTAAGTACGAACCATAATTACAGTGTGAAAGACAATGCGTCGTGACAATATCCATTTTCACAATGATTCTTAGATCCTATACTTACGATTTCCTTTTAACGTGTAACTTAATTAATAGAAAACCCTTTATCGTGTGCGTTATTTAAATGTATTTTATGTATAAAAACAGACCTACATTACTTGTATGATAATATTAGTCCGTATTCCTAGAGCCGGACAACAGCAGACGTATGATATAGAACGCATAAATAAAAAACTCATATCTAGTTCATGCTCGATTTGGCAAGACTTCTTTATCCGTGAAGCTCAAAAACAACCTATTTTTCTGAAAAGAACTATCCCATACCTTAGAGGAGTTTCATAGTGTTATCGGCAGTTTACAAAAAAGGGGTCTTACTCAAGTAGCTATGTTTATTTAGATAGAGGTCAAAGTGATTTTTTGGTGTATTTACTACACACCAGTGAAACACGCAATAGTCTTATTGTCAGTCAACTTTTCCTAGATAAAATCAGCAACGACGCGCTTTTGAGTAACATTGTATCATAGGTACTTGATATAGACAAAATAGAACATTCATTTGAAGATGAAATACCAACCCTTTTCCTTAAATACCTTTCTTTTTTAATTTTTATTCGTAATCTTCCGACCTTTTTAGTTTTTATTAAGTATCAATATCTATACAGATCTTACCCGTGAAATTGCCGCTTTTTTCGTACTGGACTAATGGCAGTTTCTTAAACTTTATGTGCCGAAAGAAAAATAATCAAAAGAATTCTCCTATACTTCCTTCAAAATATATTCTAAATAAAAGTGGCAATAAAAACATTGTTGATTGAATATTATAGAAAAAAAACTGAAATATATGTGTTTAAGTTACAGAGCAATACTTCAGGAAAGCAAGGGCGTAAAAGCCAAAGTATAAAGTTTACAAGACGTTTGAAAAAATTATATATCATATATTCATATATTATTTCATATGTTTTTTAATATCTTTCTACATTTACGTAAAAAGACATATTTTACCGAATAGCAAAACATTGAGTAGACAGTTCGAAAGACCATCAAAATTTTACCAAACTACTTTAACTTATAATTATTAATACAAAGATCGAATACTCAGAAAAAATTCCTTCGATCCGGCCGGATTCGAACCGACGTCTTCTAGCGTACCGTGCCAGACGCTATACCAACTAAGCCACGAACCAGCGGACCTCACATTTTTTTCTATGTGCTTATCATGTCTTTGTATTTGGTTTTTCAACGACTTTTTAGTCGTAGCGCCATCTATGAAAGTGTTATCATCGAATCCGGCCGGATCGAAGGAATTTTTTCTGAGTGTTCGATTCTTGTATTAATATTTATAAGAAACTAGTGGAGTAATTTCACAAAAAATAATTGAATATCAATTCAATAAAAATCTAAAATACTTTATCTTATTGTAATAAAATTGGGTTTTACACCCTTTTTTCCCCTGAAGTATTAAATCTTTATCATCCCCGCATAATGTACCTGCTCCACCCACTTGGCATAATCTGCCTATATATGGTATAATCTACCTACATGGGTACATTTTTTATCATAAGTGCTTACTTATATGAGCCGATTTCTTGCTACAGAGAAGGATTTTGTTCATATTTGACTTACCTCACTTGAAGTCAGGTAACAAATGCGCGAGTCGGTGCTGTCAATGGAGGCTTGCTGCACGATGCCATAGCGCGTCGACTCGCGGTCACTCGTGTACTCGGAACGCACGCTGTCCTGCCGGTCGAACACGCCCCTGTAACAATCACGCCGTTTATATTCCACTCAAGGCTTAGTTTATGCAATAAACAAAAATCCGACACAGGCGGTAAATTCGCAATAACAAAAAAGTTGTCGGGAATTTCTTTGTTAATTAAACCCTTTCCCACCCACTCTAATTCTTGTCAAATATTTCCTGGATCTTACTACGTATTTACTTTAATGTACAGCGTCAGCGCCTTAGTTATGTTTTCACATTTTCAATACCAGTAAAACAAATAAATAAAATAACAATGTTTATTTACTTTAATCTAGGCCTAGTACCAGTGCATTTATTTAGTCAATCACAAACATAAATATTACAAAGATTTTACAAATCTTTTTTTCCTGATTTTTTTCCGAAAATGTTATAAATATGTAATGATCAAACTGATTTCTTTTGGTATTGGGAGTCTTTCTATTTTTACGTTTCAGAGTAAATTATTTTGATTCCGTCAAAGAGCATCCAATCCATTACAAACATATTCTGGCAGTTCGTCGCTAATGAGAATTCCAGTTTGATTCGAAGTTCTCGGCCTGCCGTCTATTGTCGGCAAATGTAAATCAAATACGGTTTCAATTTGCTAGGTCTGTTGTATGAGTCGAGTGGCGCTACACCGCGCCATGGCACCGTGCCTACGAGCATTGCAACCGCAACCCATTTCCATTGTATCAACCTAAGGTAACTATGCGGAAAACGTACGAACAACGCGGCATGTCGACTTAGTGGCGTGTATACGTAACAACGTTTATGTAACGTTAGCTGAATTGAATATACTGTCGAAATTCATTAATTTGCTGTGTAGGTACGAAGTCATTAGAATACGTCTTACGATTGGTTACTTCGTTGTGTAAAGTCATGAAACGCGCGCGGGATATAGTAGCCGACTATAGCCAATTGGTGTTGTTGGCAGGGTTAACAGGGCTTAATGAAGGACCGCAAATTAACTCATTTAGGCTTGGAAACCATTGTTGATAGCAGCTGGTCATCAATTTTCTTGTTATAGGAATCAATAAATTGGTCTAGAGAAAAACGTTCGCTTACAGCAGTGTGCACGGCATTTTTAATTATCTTATACAGCTTAGAAGCTAATGCATTCCAAAAAAGTTTGTTTAGAAAATAAAATATCCTTAAAAACGATTGATGTAAAAATCATGCGTCCTTTTTAAATAAAATATTAGCGGTAGAGCTCCTTGCGAAAGAGTTCGTCCAGGGAAGTATTGCCATTTTACCTATTTCTGCCACCAAGAGTAAAGGTGCTGGTGACATTACAGGCACATGTGACTTGTCAACTTATGTCTCAAGGTGACGAGCGCTGTGGTAGTGCCCTTCAAATCTTTGCGATTTAAAGCTCTGAGTGGCACTGTAACTGTTATGGACAGGCGTGTAGCTTATCACCACGCGCACGACTTGTTCGTCCCGTCACTTTGTATTATATAAAATAAAAGATCCACAGTGTTGAAGTTGTTTTGCTGCAAATACTACTTTATTCCTAAACATCTTAAAATAAACATGGACATAGAGAAAATTAGTAAATTTTGTCAATTGTTAACGCAGGAGTACCAAAATTTTGTAGTCTAAATAATTGCCAATTTGCTGTCTAACCACTAATATTGTATTATCGTTACATCAGCTTTTAATTGAGTCACTCACACACTTTAATTTTACTTAAAATTTACCGAAACACTTTCATTAATAATTTTTTTTTTTGGCACATTTACTAAATGAAAGAGTAGATTCTACGGTTTATAAAGACGTCAATGTAACTAATATAAATCACAGTTAAACTTCCATCGATGTTTGTGATTCAATTCCAGAGAGTTCCTATACAAATACGGGTTCATTATTTTTCAAAATGGGCTCATCATATATTTAATATGCTTGTCACATATTTACCGTTGCTCGAAGCTATCAGCTCGGTTGCTTCTGTATCCAGAGTCGTTAAGGCTTCCCTCATGGCGCAAGCTGGGTAAGGAGTCCCACGGCGAGCGGCGAGGGCCGGCGGCAGGCGGAGCACCGCGCCAACCATCCGAGTGGCGGTACCACGCGGCTCGAGCCGACTCCCCAATGCAGGACGCGCAACGCGACGCACTTACGAAACTGGGAAACAAATAAAATCTTATTATAATAATAACCGCAGTATACCGAAACGTCGCTCTGCCAACTGAGCTACAGGTCACATCAGCAGGTCGACGAAATTGTTCTATGCGTCTGTTATATAATTTTGTATTGGTTTTTTTCGGTTTTCAATGCCGTAATTGAATAAAAAATCAATAAAATCCAGTTTTTGAGATTTTCGTGGTGATGGCATTACTTTTTAGTTAAAGATTTAGATTAATCTTTAGTTAAAGGTTAATGAAAACCAATTCCACTAAATCTATTCCTAACACTTAAAAGTATTTTTATTCGTTTCATCATTTGCGTTTCAAAACTAGAAAGTTTATATACACGGAGAAATGCAGTTCGGGTTTTTGCTTCAAGTTTTAGTAAGTTGCTCATATGTGATAGTATTGGAAGTATGTAAGAGAGTAAGGGTTTAAGGCCCAGGGCGGAAATAAAGATTCACCGACCATTAAGCAAAGACGAAAGCCAAACGCGATCGTGCGTAGTACAACTCATACCTACAATATTAGTTCAACTCAATTATTTATTTGGACTAATCCTTTTTGTTATAATCTGATTTATAAAATAATTTTAAACGAGGTAGTGATAAAATTTCAATTCGCAAAACGGCAAACAGGCCAATTAATCTCAATGTAAAGGATAAAGAAGCAACTTTATGTTTACCATGCCTCTATTAAATTTTTTATTTTATTTTAACTTATTGGAAGACCGACGGCTACCTTACAGAAACTGGAATAATAATGGAGAGCCAATTATAGGTCCTCACCGATAGACACACATTAAGTTAATGAGCATTAAATTATAACTATATAACTAGTAACTATAGTATATAGGTAATTACATTTTCGCAACACTTAGTACCTACACGTATTACCTACTCGCCAATAAACAAACTAAAGAAAGTTTAAATATCGCATGACACTTATTTCGAAGAAATAAGAGAATCTCTTCCAAAATATACTGACTAAATATAGGTAAGTAAATTTGTTTTCCGATCTCTGTTAATTCATTCACAATGAATTTCATGAAATCTTCTTAAACGAGTTACTTCGAAATTATATTCAAGTCTTTGTTCGGACCGTTAATCCAATCATTAACGCGAAGCCATAGATAAAGAAGTAATTCCTTACCTACCATTTCTTTATGCTTTGTTAAAGTAAACCAATTAACTCCAGCAAACGCCAATTTTCATTATTTCTTTTATCTACAGGACGAACCAAACTCCCCGGTGCACACAATTTAAAATAAATAAGCAACAACGAGAAACTAATTTGAAATGGACGTTCTCTGATATTCCAATGGGATTCTTCTGTTACGTGTCAGATTAACAGGACCCGGCTTTAAATATATTACGAGTTCTAATAGCATTATACTCGTAACAAGCGAAACGTGCGATCACGGAGTGGTTTGTACTTTCCAGGGTTGATTTCAAACGGTTTAAAGACATTGATGCTTATTTCGTTTCGCTGCTCAGCTTTGATTGAAGTAGTCACATTAAGGATATTCATAAATTCTATAAATTACGATTAATTACCATGTTACTAGTACTTTACTGTGACCAAAGCAATGTGCTTTTCATATAGCCAAGTAAATTGACCTCTAATTCTGAACAAGTATAGGTAACACCCACACTAATGGGTTGGGTACCTACATAATGAACCGCTATTCCACCTAAAAGTCAGGGCGTGTTGTAATAAATTCCAACACTGTTTACTGATAAAGCATTGTAAAGAACGAAATTCTCTCAACATCAACATGATAAATTATTTCACTTCCTGTACCGCCTGTGTTCGCAAATTACTTGCTACGCAATTGGCTATTTCTATCCCCAGGAGTACGCCTGCGGCTATGTAAAAAGCCTTGCACAAGTAATCGAACTTCCAAACACCCCTAAATAAAAGTTTATTGTCAATAAATATATTTTACTCGCCTTAATTGCCCGCACGGTTTAACAACAATTTATGCAGTAATTCCAGTAATTTGACGTCTTGTAATCATAAATAAGTTTCTAGGGTGTCATGATTATGTGAGTATATCAAATTATTTTTGAATGGTACGTACAGGAGCCAAAGTTTTTAGAAATTTTCATATTAAAAGTTTTGGTAATTATAATTTGGTGAAGATTTTTGAGTGGCTGACAAAGTTTTGTGCTTCGATGACCGAAGTCAAAGTTACGTTTGTTTGAGTGGAGTTTAATTTCATCCTTCAACATTTTTGGAAGTCAAGTCTCCATGAAAGATAATAATCAATTTCTAGTAACTTTCTCCATTAAAATTCTAATGTGCATTATTTACCTATAACAACTCAGGCCAGAACCGATTTAGAAAAGATCATACCCCATTCTGGTGGATATCGGGAATCGAAACCAGGACCTCGTCATCGCAGAGCAAACTGTTGGCCTTCCGAGACCGTCGGTTATTTCATGTACTAAGTCTAGTTTATTTAACAATATTGCGCAACATTTATTTTTCCTTTTGTTGAATAACTATTTTTAGAACTCGTCTTATAATTTGTTAACGTTTGCTAACTAGTATTTCTGATCTAATGATCTTCAACGGATGATGAATGGAATGAGCTTCATAATCTCAAGATCCTTTCTACAGACTGTCACTACTACATAGGGCGCACTATAAATTTCCGGAACTGGCCACTTACATAAACAATATTTAAAAAGTAATTACAACATTTGGAAATGGAACTCTTTGGCTGTAGAATACAGTTTGTTTCATCTGACTGTCACCTGTTTTTACATTGTGGCGTCATTTTAGAAATTGGTTGTCTACATCACCGTGGATTTAACTCGTGAAAATTGTCGTAGTATGATTTTCTACGAGTTTAAGTGTAATTTAACAGCTTAGCGGAACTTCGCTTAGCTTCAAACTGCTTTTGGCGACGAAGCACCATACAAGACGACAATTTATAGCTGGTTTGCAGATTTCAAACGCGGTCGTGTGAATCTCAGTGACGAATTTCGTGATGGTCGCCCGTCCACTGCTGTGAACAACAAAAACATCGATGCTTGCCTTATGATCAAAACAGACAGGCATATGACATACCATGAGATTCGGGCATCTTTAGGCATAGGCATGAGTTAAATACAATCAATGGTGTGAAACAGCTCTGCTCTCGGTGGATCCCACACAATTTGACTGAGGCTCAAAAAACGGATCGCATTACTTGGTGCAATGCCATGCTTACCAGATTCAAAGAAGGGGCGTCAAATTTAGTGTGGGACATAGTAGCAGGTGACGAAACACGGACTTATAGTTACGATCTCAAAACGAAAGCATCAATCGAGCGTATGGGTCTTTCGAGATGAGCCGAAACCAACCAAAGTGGCGCGCGTGCAAATTGCCTCTAAGCGGATGATTGTTACTTTTTTAATAAAGCTGGCACGTGGCTACTGTTGCTTTGGAGAATCGTTGTACTGTGAATAGTGATTGGTACACGACCATTTGTTTGCCGGAAGTTATTGACAAACTCCGTAAAAATAACCATAAACGCCGTATCATCTTGCACCACGATAATGCCAGTTTTCACACGGCTAGACAGACAAATGAATTTTTGAAGGTGAATAACGTTGACCTTATGAGCCATCCCGGTATAGTGCCGACCTGGCACCTTGTGACTTTTGTTTATTTCCAAAAATTAAGAACCAGTTACGCGGTCAACGATTTTCATCACCTGAAGAGGCTGTCGAAGAGTATGAAAAATACGTGTCAGAGATTGTCACGGAGGAGTGCCATAAATGTTTTCAAAATTGGTTCAAATTCATTTCTGACCATTTATAATATTTTTTTCTTATTCATTCCGGAAACTTATAGTAGAATTGTACGTGAAGCTGTTGGAATTAAAGAACATCGTAATTTCAACCGAGAAGACGGTTGCGACTATCGCCGGATATCGTGAGTGTCGGTCTAGTGACAATCCTAGGGCGCAAATAAATAATGAAGACCATGTGCGGGTAGTTAGAAAATCTTGCACGGCTAGAAGGTGTTGATACCGGTCTCTTCAATGCGTGCGAGTAAAATAACTAAAAATATATCGTATAAAAAATATATCTACTATGCGTACTTTATATTACTGCGTGATAGGAAATGTATTTTTTTACTTCAAAACAAATTCGAACGCGTCAACATTCATTCGACGTAATTGATCACATCTCGTCAATATTTTGCGCAATATTTTATAATTCATTTTATCCATAAACTGCCTCGGTAACTTTTTTCTCAGAAAAATGTTAGATTCTAGAGCAATGTTCGGATTACCTTATCCAATCAAACATTGGAGAGGACTTCCTACAAAAACCTACTGTACAAAATATAGTTTTTTTGTAAATCCATAATTAATATACACATGATTTAAGATATTTATTTCTAATAAGATATATATTTTAATTCACTTAGTGAGAATAACTGCCTGCGTGGCCGAACGGTTGCCATGCCGGATTGCCACGTCAAGGTCCCAGGTTCGATTCCTGGGCCGGGAGAAATATTTGTATGGCCTACATTCATGGCATGGCATGTATTTCTCTTGTGAGTTTGGGTGTAATTTGTGGTTGTCTACGTGTGTGTCCCTGGCACCCGCGACACAGGGTTTCCCTAGTGCGGGGTTATGTTGAGTGTGTACGTTATTAAATAAAAGGTATCCTAAAATTTCTACATAGAGTGCGCGTTGACAAAGTATTCAAATGAAGGTATACAAATAAAATACCATGTTCTAGTATAATAAGCAAGGGTCGGAATGTATAAGCAATATTAAACAACATCACATACGTTACTCTAACCCAAAGTAAGTAACTAAAGCACTTGTGTTATGGAAACAACGACGGTACCACAAACACCCAGATCCGAAAGTTAGTTTTCTATATTGAGCCGGTCGGGTGTTGAACCCGGGACCCCAGAGATGGTGACGCCATGAAAACCGGCGTGCAAGCCTCTCGAACACGGAGATCGTCGAATAATAGGTAGAGATAT